GAAAGAGTCAGGAGCCCAGAGGAGGGGGCAAAGGAGGTGAGGGGGTGGGGGCAGAAAGTGGAAATGAAAGCAGACAACAGAACATTGCTATTCGGTCCCTACCCGGATTCGAACCCGGGACCTTTTAATGAGAGGCCAACACCTTAACTTCTAGGCCACGAGAGCCCCCTGACAATGTTGTCCAATGAAATTTGCCTGTCGCTTTCGTATATTCGTCAAAAGCTGTCGTCTGCAATTTGCTTCAGCCTTGACTTCTTCATTTATTGTTTTTCTAGCTGTCCATGGGATACGCAGCATGCGTCTTATGAACCATAACTCTGTCGCCACAATTGTTCTGTCTAGCTGTCTATTGATTGTCCATGCTTCACATCCGTTTAGTAGGATTGGCTCAATGTAACTTTTCAGTACTCTTTTTCTTGTTTCAAGTGACAGATTGACGTTTATTGTGGCTTAAGAATCTTGAAGCAGTAGATAGATAACGCTATGAAAATGAAAATAGCAGTGGAGATATTTTGATAATATGTATTTCGTTGTGCCACAAGAATCTTGAAGCATTCGGTCAATGACCCGTCCAAGAGGTCAACGTTCGCCACTGCCTGACTTCCGGGAGAGACGTTCTGGAACAGTCAGAGGTCACATTAGATATGGCATCTGTCTGCACCAGGCATACCTACTTCTCGATAGCAGGTTTATTTTAAGAAACAAAAAAGTCACGTAGACACGATACTGACATTGTAGAGAGGCGAAAAAATATGACATTTGGACAGAAACATCAGAGGTGAAGAAAAGGAGTAGGATCAGGATTCACCATTACCCAACTCCCACCCCCACGACACATACACACACACACACACACATACACACACATACACGCACACGCATACACACACTCACACACACACTCACACACTCTCACCCCCTTCAGTTCCAACTCTCTTTTCGAGCCAATCAAATCCCACCCTATTCTGCAAATCAGACAGATGTAAAAAGTGTGTGAGTGTGCACTGTTTCTAAAATATGCGAGGCATCGAGGTGAGATCAGGCGCTCTTCAAAATAATGAAATCCGAGAAATCTGCATTTTTCGGCCAGTCTGTACATTTGTTTTTCTTTCGAATATTAGTTTTTTTGGTTCAACACCTTGTACGTCCATTCAAAAACACTTGTGTATGTGGATTTTTAATGGAAAACGTTGATTAAAGGCGCAGCAAATGTAAATTTGCAATTTCCAAGAACTCTAAAACTATGAAAGTCACCAAAACTTAGTGGCCATTTTGTTGCTATTTTTACTTCTGAAACCAGGCAACACCCACCCCCTTCAATCGCACATATCTCGACTTCTATTCAAGATAAATGGATTTCTTAATCGTCTAAAGCAAGGCAAATGAAAAACCTTTAATATAATACAATTAACTCCAAACACCCAACAGTTAACGAGCGCCTGATTCCACTGCGTTGTGACACACATAGTCACTTTTAAAGACAAGCGGGCTAACCTAGATTTGGGGGGGTTTCCAGAAATCTTGACCTACACCAAACGTGGGCATTACCCTACCTATAGGAGAAG